TTCTTTAAAATGCATTAGTATTCCAAATTTATATAGAAAAGATTTGGAGTTACAAGTCAAAGTTACAGTAATACTAGCTTTCACACTAGTAATTTTTTAATGTAGTAATCTCTTAAATCATGTAGAAACATATGAAAAAAGACAGTTACAAACCATTGTTACAATAATACTAGCTTTTTGATAATTGCCCATGAATTTAACTTTAGTGAGATCTTTATTTCTCCACACATCTTTTTTGATATGTTAATGTTGAGTATCATTGATTCATAGAAAAGCGAACAAGTCTCTGTGCCCTGTCTTACACACATACACTCTCCAGTGATAGCTTATTAAGATGAAAAACCAAGTATTTTGAAGTAAGTACTCTTTGATTATAGGAAATTAATAAGAACATTTAGTTACTATGAATTAGTATTTTTAATAGACTATTTTTAGAGTAGTTCTTTGTTCACAGAAAAAATTGAGCAGAGAGTACAGAGATTTTCCGTGTACTGCCTGCCCCAGCACGTGAAGAGCCTCCCCTATTGTCACCGTCTTCCACCAGAGACCTACATTAGTTAAAATTAGTGAACTTACATTGATACATCATTATCACCAAAGCCCATAGTTTGCTTTTAATTTTTATGTTCCATGGGTTTTGACAGATGTATAATGCTATGTGTCTACCATTATAGTATATAGAGTAGTTTATAATCCTACAGTACATGGGGTAGTTCCACTAAAAATCCTTTGTGCTCAGACTGTTCACCTTCTCTCCCCAGTAACCCATGGCAAGCATTGATCATTTTACTGTCTTCATAGTTTTCCCTTTTCTCAAATGTCATATTGTTGGAGTTATTTGGTATGTAGCCTTTTCAGATTGATTCCTTTTACTTAGTAATGTGTGTTTAAGTTTCTTCCATGTCTTTTCATGGCTTGATAGCTCATTCCTTTTTAGTGCTGAATAATATTCCATTGTCTGGATGTACCAGTTTATTTATTCATTCACCTATAGCTTCCAAGTTTTGGCAATCATGAATAAAACTGCTAAAAACATTTGTGTGCAGGTTTTTGGATGGACATAGTTTTCAACTCATTTGGGTAAATACTGAGGACTGTGATTGTGGGATCTTCTGAAAAGAGTATGTTTAGGTTTATAAGAAATTGATGAGCTGTCTCCCAAAGTGGCTGTACCATTTTATGTTCTCACCAGTAATGAATAAGACTTCCTGTTTCTCCACGTGCTCTTGTGTTTTCGGTGTTCTGGATTTTGGTCATTCTAATAGGTATGTAGTGATATTTCATTGTTGTTTTAATTTGCATTTCTCTAATGACATATGATATGGAGCATCTTTTAATATGCTTTTCTTGCCATCTTTATCTCTTCTTTCAGGAGATGTACGTTCAAGTCTTTGGCTCATTTTTTAAGTCGAGTTGTTGGTTTTCTTATTGAGGAGTTCTTTGTATGTTTTAGATAACTGTCCTTTATCAGATGCGTCCTTTGCACATATTTTCTCCCAGACTATGGCTTGTTTTTTCTTTCTGTTGACATTGTTTTAGTGAAGCCCAGCTTATCAATTATTTCTTTCATTGATCATACCTTTGGTATTTTACCTAAAAAGTCATCACCAAACCCAAGGTTTTCTAGATTGTCTAACATGTTACCTCCTACAAGTTTTATAGTTTAGCATTCTTCATGTTAATCTGTGATCTATTTTGAGTTAATGACTATATTCATATGGGTCTATTTCTGGGCTCTTTATCTGTTCCATTTGATCTGTTTGTCTATTCCTTTATCAGCACTGTACTGTGCTGATTACTGTAGCTTTATAGTAAGCCTTGAAGTTGGTTAGTGTCAGTCCTCTGACTTTGTTCCTCTTCATTAACATTATGTTGACTATTCTGGGTCTTTAGCCTCTCCACATAAACTTTGGAATTATTACCTTTGTTCTCTAGACTCCAGTTTGTATTTCTCTGTTTACTACCAGCAGCTAAACACT